GACAGTGTGTAAATGTTTGCTTAAAATAAACAGTAATATTTGTGCTCTTGTACTGTGTTGAAATATTATAAAGAGCTACTGTCAGTGTACCCACCCACATCTTTATTAGCCTTCTGGAAAACTGCAGTATAACAGCTTTGAAGATGGTCCAAACCTGTGAAGCTTGGGTTAAACCAGACAACTGTGCTACTACCTGGAGGATTTACTGTAGCTTTTTAGTCAGTTGGACCTTTACAGTGAGTCATTCAGTAGCTAATCTTGTATTTACTGAGTTCATATTTCTTTGTCTTGCTGTGACGCATTCAAATGTAGCATTAAACCAGAGCAAATGCCAAGTACTGTAGGTGCTGCACAGTGTGGTCATGCAGACTGCTGCTGGGCAGAGCTGTTGACAGACACTGTAGAGCCTGAAAGATGGTGGGCATGTAGCACTGGACCAGTACACCTCCAGGTTAGCATTTCATCTGACACCCCTTCAAAGTGCAAGAGAGAAACCTCATCAGATAAGCCTGCTGTTTACTGGCCATGATTTGTCTCTTTAAGCTTTAGTTTCTAAATAGGAAAGTTGCTTATGTTACATTAGGACTTGATGAGAAACTGGTGTCATAATCTTTAAGTATTCTGAGTCACTCACTCATCTGCTGTACTAATCTTGATTCTGAACCTGTTGTCTTTACACTGTCTCAGCTCATGGAGTCTCAATTAATTTATTTGTGATGTAGTGTTATTTGGTGGGCAGTTATAGTATGAAAAACTAATGGGTACCGCACAGTTCGGTGTGTTTTTTCATTTATGCAACCTTAAATAGGTTGCATAAATGAAAAAACATACCAAACTCCTGTTAAATGTATAATTTTTAAAAACTGATAAAATTCCTAAATGCATGAATAGATTCACAGCAGTGTACAGACAATTGGTTAAACTAGTACCATATAGTAATCTCCAGTTAAAGAGCAATAATTGCAAATGCAAACAGATGGGAATTTGCCACATTTAAAAATAAAACTTTAATATCTGAGACTACAAGAGATGTCAGGTTTCCTCTGAACCCGTAGCACTTAAAAGTATCAAAACAAAGGGACATCTAGGTCTAGCTGAATGGGAAGGAAATAAAAACAAAGTATAAGTAAACAGGTGGAGAAAATGCAAATGGAGGTGTTAAAATATGTATGTGTAAAATCATGACTTAAGATTTATTTACATTTCAGTCCTGCAAAGTGTAAAAAGCGAAAGCTGCTGCACAGACAACAGGACACAAAGTTCAAGGCTTTAGTTTTCAGTGATAATTTAATCATACAAATATTCTTCAAACATACAGGGGGAAAAAGCATTCATCTTTTCAGAAATTCATCATAAATATGCAGTCTAGTGCCAACCAACTCATTCTGCAATATGGCCAGTGGAAACTTTTGAAACATATTAGATTAAGAACAAAGCAAACTCAACACTTGTTGAATTGACAGTGACAACAGGGGGAAACGTTTATCATTGACATTTTGCACAGAAAACGCACACCATTCTATGAAGAGCACAGAGACTCTCACATGTTCTAGTAGTGGCTGGTCATGTTTTCAGTAACCCTGGGGCTTAGAGTGAGCAAAGTGTTTACCTAACGCAGTGGTATTCCACACCGGCTGTGGATGACAGATAAAAATCAGAGTTAACAAAACCCTTCAGGACTCAACTATACACACAGGCCTCATTATGGAGGTTGCTGAGTACTCAGTGCATAGATCAGCCTGTTAGTTAAAATATGCAGTGACAACTCTTAAGCAATACATGGCTCTGTCGTTTCTTTGTAATATGACTGGTTCGCTTACATTTGCATCTGAAATGACCAATGTGTTAAAAGCCCGTCAGACATCAGTGGGAACATCAGTA